GTACCTTGCACGGGAAAAATGTAACATCGTGCTGAACTGACGGGTCATCCTAAGTACATCAATCTCTTCACATCAAACACACTGTTTTCGGGGTTTATTTTTTTATTATGTGTGTCACCCCGTTTCGTTTCTTTTCGTTTCTTCGATTACAACAAGCTTTGTTTTGGATACGGAAGTTTTTTTGTTATATACTCGTACCTTGAACGGAAAATATTTGATATCGCGCTGAACTGACGGGTCATCCCAAGTACGTCCAATCAGTCTCTTCACACCAAACACACTGTTTTCAGGGTTGGACGTCAGTTGATTCTTGGCAGCATCGCCGATCAGACGACCTCTATTTTCCATAAATGCCACATATGACGGAGTGATACGGTTACCTTGGTCGTGCGCTATGATTTCTACATGACCGTCCTTGTAAACACCAACACAAACACACATGGGTAAAGATCATAATGTATGTTCAGGTCAGACAATACCGACGGTACCGCGTCAGGTGATGTTAAGAAAATGTGTCGTGTGTTCAAGCCAATGACAAATGGCAAAATGTCAAGTTCACAAACTTATCCTATTGTGGGTCAGTGTTTGCCAAAAAAATACAAATTTAGTAAAAAACAAAACATTTCTGGATAAGATGTGTGAGATGATTTTAGTTCGTTGGGAAATGAAATACCTATGATAAATGTTAAATCAATCGCACACGTTCATCCATCCATCCTGTACTCCATTCAAGTTGCAGTATAGACAAAACAGTCTGCTTTTTTGAAAGGAGTATAGCCGGTTCCCGGACTGTGTCGCCGTATTCTCGAAAAAGTCGGATCTACAAATGTCAGCAATTGAAGTTCAACTAACAAAGACATATAGTCTGCGAATAACTATACATTTTCTGTACCTTTTTTTTTATAAAAGGGGTTTTCATTTACGCATGCTTGCTGTATCGGCACAGGATTCTGTCTAGAAGTACTGGCGGTACTTAGAAATCTGGAGGAACGATCGGTACATTTTATTACCAGGGTATTCCCCAGGATTTGATTGCAGTGATTTTCTAGGAAGTTGCCGTTATTCAAAGGATTAGAGTCTTGATTTGTGACAATGTGTCAATACATTTATTCAATGCCAATCACCGTCCCTATTTTCTGATCATCGCTCCCTTTAGCGTCAGGAACAACTGCTACCG